AGTTCGATATTAATTTCTCTAAATGTTCTTCTGTGGTAACTGATGGTGCAAAGGCAATGGTAGGCACGAAAAACGGATTCTTCGGTCAATTAAAGCAGCGAAATTTAAAATTTCCCGTAATTCATTGCATAATTCATCAAGAACCGTTATGTGGGAAAGCTGTTAAACTATGCACAGCAATGCGAACAGTAACAAAGATTATTAACCAAATTAAAGGTGGTCAAAAATTTCTTTCTCATCGAAAGTTTCAATACTTTCTCGAAGAGCATAACGCAACATATACAGATGTACTTTTGTATTGTGAAGTCCGGTGGCTTAGTGTAGGAAAATGTCTTCAAAAGTTTTTTGCAATAAGAAAAGAGATATTTCTTTTCTTGCAAGAACAATTACCTGCAAAATATGAAGAATTTAAATATTTCTTCGAAAACTTAGACTCGCTTTGTGAACTTGTTTTAGTGACCGACATAACAAACCATTTGAATACTTTAAATTTAAAGCTGCAAAAAACAAACCAAACTATTTCATAAGTAGTCAGTCATGTCGATTCTTTCCACAGAAAATTGTTACTCTTAAAAAATAAAAAAAGTTGCAAAATAATATTCTTCATTTCTTTCCTTCTTGCCAGATTCTCTATGAGGAACATGGCAAATATAGTGACTTCATAAAGCAACTGAATATAATTGATTCAATAATAGAAGAATTTGATTCGCGTTTCCGATTTTGAAACGCTAAGAAAAGATTTGATACTTTTTGAGAATCCTCTCACTGTGCAAATCGAGAAACAAAGCTTAGAATTTCAAGCAGAATTGTGTGATTTGCAATGCGATCTTTCACTTAAAACACGTCCAGAAAAAGGGATTGAGTTCTTCAAAATTTTAAATCCATCGTGTTACCCACGTCTTAGAGATTTTGGTCTTCAAAGTTTCTCCATGTTTGGGTCTACATATTTATGTGAATGCTCTTTTTCGAAAATGAATTTTACAAAGACAGCCACACGTTCTTCTTTGAACGATGCATCACTGTCTTCGTTGATGCGAGCTAGTTCTTCCAAAATTTCTGTGGATATACCATCTTTAGTACAATCGTGTAAACGATCTAGGAAACATTAAGATTGGCTGATTTTTTTTCTTCTATGATTAGAATTTTTTTTCTTCCGTATATATCTTATAATATAGAATTTCGCTTTTCTGCCGAGTCATGTCATTAATTTTAATTTATTTCTAGTGGAATAGGCTTACAGGGGAAACCACTTAAAAAAAAAACGCATCAATAATAGTACCTCATGGGTGATGTGGAAATCTATTATCAAAATTACAAGACAGATACACACACACACGCATTATATTCGATATAAAATTATATATGTGTGTGTGTGGGTGTGTATCTACAATATATTACACATAAATAATGTAACATTATATTATTTACAAAAAAATATATATATTGAAGAAGTAAAAATTTTAATAACGGATTGGCACACAGAAGCGCTACATACGTATTTCTTACTCAACAACGCTCCTGAGGCAAAGCAATCGGCGGCTCGGAGGAGTGAGAATGGGGCAGCGGTGGGCGTCGCGTCTGAAATCAGCCCGAAATGTGACAAAAATTCCAAGGCCTGATCTAAAAGATTTGTGCACCGATTTTTTGTTGATTTCGGAACGCGTTCCAACTTCAGGGTAGCGATCATGAATCTTTCACGTGAACTTCATTTTCACTTTTCACTGTAAGTTATTTCACATAAAAAGTGAACAATGAAAATGTGGAAAGTAATATTTATGCAATATAGATTATTAAAATTAAAATGTAATTACAATATACACAATGTAATATATAACACATTAAATACACAATGAAAGCATACCGACGAAGTTTGCAAAGTTAAGATACGTATGCATCAGAAAGTTAAAGTATAATATATTATAAATTGTATGCAGTAAGTAAAATGTAAGTTTATTTTATGTATTTATTGCATGTATTTTATGTATCGTTTTATATGAAATATATATTTTCTGCAGATTTATAATTTTAATATAAATAGAATATTTTATCCTTTCATAATTTATCCTAAAGTAATCCCAGACAAGCAGACTTCCAAGGGACGTTCTAAAGACGTCACTATGTCTTAAAAACATGCTGAAAAAATTCTAAAGATGTCCCTTGCAAATTGGTGTTGTCTTGAGTATATTGTAATATTTGTCTTACTTAGGTTACTCTTGGCTCATATAGTTTACACTGACCCTAAATAGTAAAATGCTCAAACAGCACAAAATCTCTTAAGCCGGAATCAGACTACGCATTGGAGATTGAGGATTGCGGACTGAAGATTACTATTTGACCAATTGGAGCAAAGCCAGCCAAAATCGAAGTTAGTTGATTCGACAAAATCTAATCTTCAATCCGCAATCCTCAATCTCCAATGCGTAGTCTGATTCTGGCTTTAAAGACATCCCAGGGACATCTTGAAGACGAAGAAACATCCTCAGGACGTACTCTGGACGTTTCCTGGACATCTGTGCTGTTAGAGTGACGTCTTAATGATGTTAAATAATGCTTTAATAATGTCTTTAATGTCAATAAGACATCACTAAAATGACAGTTGAAATTATTTTGCTGCCATGTTGAACAAAATTTTTGCGTAAAAAATTTCAATTTTCACAAATTCACGTTAAATCTTTCATTTTTCACGAGTTTAAAGAAAGTTTTCATCTTTCACGAGTTCATTACAAAATTTTCACTTTTCACGAGTTCATACTAAAGGTGCGATTTCACGCAGCGAATAAAAGCTAGCGTTTTACCCCACTCCATCAATTTTCACCGAAATGGCGAATGTAGCGAATAAATGCTCAAAGTTCGACACAGTCCAACTTTTAGAGAATAAAAGTTGGCGTTTACAACCACTCCATTAATTATCGCTAAAAAGACGAATGAAGCAGATAAACGTTCAAAGTTCGACACAGTTCAACTTCTTGCGATTTAACTGGATCAAGTGATTGTAATTAATTAAGTGAATAAAATAGGTCATATAAATCCGATGAAAAATTTTTCATGCATAATTATGTATGAAATTTGTTCATACATAATTATGTATAATCATATAACATTATATATCATTATATACAATTATGTATAACAATATGTATAATTACATATAAATCTATGCGTACCCAGATAGAAATGCGTGATTATCACGTTTCATCATAATGTGATGTCATACTGTGATTTCACCTTGATACCTTTTTAAAGATCATTATGTGATTAACATGACATGAGCACAAGATGTATACAAATGATATACGAATATGTCTAGTCCATCAAGTTTTGTTATTATAATATCATTAGATGAGATATTTTTCTGATCATCATTATATGAACGGCATATGAGCAATATATGCGCACGCATTTGTATGCATTTTTGCAATCATCCACGTCAATATATGAGCGCGTGCTAAGCGCAACATGACATTATTTTTCTATCTGGGTAATTATATAAAATTATATATGAATTTATATATATATATAATTATACATGATTATATATATAAGTAGAATGTATAAACATGAATGGACAAATTTGATATATAATAATATATAATTATGTATAATTATATATAATTTTATATAATTGTATATAATTATGTATGAAAAATTTTTTATTGGGAAAACAGCAAATTATAATAAAAACAAGAAATTATGGCTGAAGGGACTGATAAATTGACAGTGCCGATAATACAAACGAAGTTAGTATATATTATATATGGTCAGCATATTTATATAGGTTATAACCTATAGGCTACTCTTTGTATCTTATTTATTTATATTAAATTGATTAAATTTTTCGTCTTATATATTTTTTTCGTTTTTAATAAATACATCGCTGCAATTGCAGCAGCTATATATCGTCTTCGAACTTCACCTATAATCGCCACTATACATCTATAATATTTTATATATCTCGATTATAACACTCCATTTTTATACTTATTGCAGTTTATACAGGAGGTTAAACGTGGTGAATAGGAAATGGGCGACAGCGAACAGCGTTATAACGCTACTTTGAACTATGCTGAAGTGGGGATAAAACGCTAGCTATTATTCGCTCCATGAAAAGGATACAGGTGATAGCGAACAGCTTTTAAACGTTGCTTTAAACAACGATGGAGTGGGGTGAAACGCCAGCTTTTATTCGCTGCGTGAAATCGCACCTTAAGGGAAAAGATTTATGATCGCTACGAAAGAAACGAGTGAGTCCCACATGCACACATTGCAAACGGATATATCCAATCATATGTCGTTGTTTATAGAGTCTCTAGAATATCTCTAGGCATACGGCGTTGTGGTTGGCTGTGTCCGTTTGTCAATATGCGCATGTGGGACGCTTCTAGAGAATCTCTAATACAGAGAATCGCCAACTTGGTCACGTGACCAGTTGATTGGCTGGCATAAATATATACGGATTTAGACTTTGCGACGCTAATGCAGAACAAATGCTTATATAATATATATATATATATATATATATATATATATATATATATATATACATATGGTTTTGCATCGGCGTCGCAATATCTAAATCGGGAGTGTCCCGATTGACCACGGTACGATTGAACACAACCAACCGATGAAAAGAATTATCTAGTGAATTACTAGGTCGAACCAATCATTACAATCTGTGTCCAATCGGATCCCACTCTCTAAATCCATATATGTTTATGCCAGTCAATCGCAGAGTAGCTGAGTAGCTGGTCACATGACCAAGTTGGCGATCCTCTAGAGGTTTTCTAGACGCTCTCAGAAAGACAAACACTACTTGGCACGCAAGCACTGCCACTTATTACAAGAACAGAAGGATGGCATATATGGGTGTCAAAAAGTGATGATTTGACATATAATTAAAAGAAACAAATAATTAACAGTGTAACAATAAAACAGTGTATTAAAGAAAAGCATTAATTAATTTTCTAATAATCTTTTAAGTAAAAAATATTTTTAAATTTGAGTGTAAATTAAAAAAGTTATAAACTTTAATTTCTTTAATGTTAATAATTGAAAAATTATAAATTTGCCATCAACATTAAATAAGTATGTAAATAATACTATTAATTATGTAGGTGGGGAATTATGTTATTGCGCTCAACAAAAATAAGCAGCAGACCAAGTCGAACGATATGAATATCTTGTTAAAATGATCACTCAACCTGGTCTGCTGCTTATTTTTGCTGAGTGCAATAGAGCGCATAGAGACGTATGTATTGTACTCTGCACTAATAAGCAGCAGACCAAGTCGAGTGATATTTCTTAACAAGATTCTCATATCACTTGATCTGCTACTTACTTTTGCTAAACACAATAATATAGTTCCTCATCTACAGAAATGATAACATTATACACATATTCATTTAATGTTGATGGCAAATGTATAGCTCTAAAATTATTAACATTAAAGAAATTATGGTTTATAACTTTTTAAACTTACATTTAAATTGAAAATATAAAAGTGAACTTACTTTGTTAAAGAATAAGTGAATCTCATAGTACCACCATTTTACAGGATGCAAGTATTAAGAACGACAGCTATAAGATGAAACAATATAAGCAAGATACCAATGAAGATTGTGATGCACAAGAAATATAAATTTTAACGCAAGAAACCAAACAGCGCTAAGCGATGAGTCAAGTTTGGACTGTCTGAATAACAATATTACTAAAAATTTATCCATTTGCAACTTTATTTATTTATATATATTCTATAATACTGCTATAATATAAGCTGACTTCACGCAATATATTTTAAAGATCTACATATATGAAATATGTGTCATAGTAGGTCTTCTCCTCTGGCCAAAAGGACACAAAGTCAATCCCAGTGATTCCCAAGCAGACCTATGGCACAAAATTTTCTAAAGTTCCAGTGTATCTGATTAAGTCTTTAACGCAACAGTAAAACTACGTGCCTACTAGAAAAGTGGAACCAATGGGATTGATGCAGTTCAACAGCTGGAAATTGTTCTCCTCCTGATAGTAATAATTCTGTAAATTCAATATAATTCTAATTACACTGGCACTCAGAGAGACACAAAATTCTTCTATCATTATATTTTATTTATTTTATTCTAAATTATTTACGACTCGCAATTTCAATATTAATAGATTATTTTAACTTGTATAAAAAAAATTTATAACTTAAAGTTGTAATACATTTTAAAATAACAAGTTTAAATATAATGATAGAAGAATTTTTTGTCTCTCTGAGCACCAGTGTAATTAGAATTATATTGAATTTACAGAATTATTACTACCAGGATGAGGTCAATTTCAAGCTACCAGGAGGAGGAATTTCTAGCCATTGAACTGTATCAATCCTATTCACTTTTCCATAGAATAGGTACGTAGTTTTACTGTTGCGTTAAAGACAATCAGATGCGCTGGAACTTTAGAAAATTTTGTGCCATAGGTCTGCTTGGGAATCACTGAGATTGACTTTGTGTCGCTTTAGCCAGAGGAGAAGACTACGACACATATTTCATATATGTAGATCTTTAAAATATATTGCGTAATGTCAGCTTGTATTATAGAACATATATAAATAAATGAAGTTGCTAAATTAAAGTTGCTAAAATAAAATTGATAAATTCTTAGTAATATTATTATTCAGACAGTCCAGACCTGACTCATTACTTAGTTCCTTGCGTTAAAATTTATATTTCTTATGCATCACAATCTTCATTAGTAGTATCTTGCTTATACTGCTTCATCTTATAGCTGTCGTTCTTAATACCTGCATTCTGTAAAATGGTGGTACTATGAGATTCACTTATTCTTTGACACAAAGTAAGTTCACTTTTATATTTTCAATTTGAATGTAAGTTTAAAAAGTTATAAACTATAATTTCTTTAATGTTAATAATTTTAAAGCTATACATTTGCCATCGACATTAAATGAATATATGTATAATGCTATCATTTGCGTAGATGAGGAACTATATTATTGTGTTTAGCAAAAGTAAGCAGCAGACCAAGTCGAGTGATATGAGAATCTTATTAAGAAAATATTACTCGACTTGGTCTACTACTTATTTGTGCAGAGTACAATACATACATCTCTATGCACTCTATTGTGCTCAGCAAAAATAAGCAGCAGACCAAGTCGAGTGATCATTTTAAAAAGATATTCATATTACTCGACTTGGTCTGCTGTTTATTTTTTTGCTGAGCACAATAACATAATTCTCCACCTACACAAATAATAGCATTATTTACATATTCATTTAATGTTGATGGCAAATTTATAATTCTACAATTATTAAAATTAAAGAAATTATAGTTTATAATTTTTTTAATTTACACTCAAATTTAAAAATATTTTTTACTTAAAAGATTATTAGAACATTAATGAAAAGAAAATTAATTAATACTTTTTTTTAATGTTTCACAGTCACAATCACAATAACTATTTGTTTCTTTTAATTATATGTCAAATCACTACTTTTTGACACCAGACTTCAGTCTTCAATAATTGACTGAGAACACCTACTCTTTGTTGTTGTTGTTATTACTATGGTCGTGAAACTAGTTCATTGACCACCCAAGTAAAACATAAACGTAATCAACAATATAAAATTCCAATCTTGCAACAATACAGTTTTCAGCTTAATCCAAATTATATCCTTCTATTAATCCTGCGAAAGAAAAGAGATAACTCGTTAAATGCACTTTCGTTGCTACTAAAAACTATATCATCGAGAATGATAGGTTCAATTCCCCAGACATTGCGTAAACCAATCCTCAATAAGTCCGACTCCCGCTGATTACGCGGGCAATTTAAAATTACATGTTCCGAAGTCTCTGGCAGACCGCAATCACAAAGCGGTTAGTCACTGATATTTTTATCATATATATGTTGCGCTACTTGTATATGATAAGTCCGTAATCGTGATACCATAGTTATAATTTCTCTATTGAGATGAGCATGTTGTAAAAACCAAGGCTCCAAATGATTTTTAATACGCGTTCTATGAAAATACCTGAAATCTTTTTGCTCCGAGGTGTCTCTAAAAAATTGCGCAACATTTTCATCCATGCGATCTCTAAGCATTCTACAAATAGTACTCGAAAACAGAACAGTTTTATGCTCTACAGATAAATTTATTCCACGGGCAGCGTTTTTTGTCAATTCATCAGCCCGTTCATTGCCTTCAACACCCGAATGTCCCGGAATCCAGACAAACACAATCTCAAAGCCTTGCTTGATCAAGTAGCTGTATATATCTTTGATAATATACACGGTGGGCCATTTTACGGGACCCACCCAAATTTCTCCATAAGTAAGCCAGATATAGAAAAATAGTTAAGACAAAACTTGTTCAGGACAATGGAAGTCATCTTTCTCAATAAATGAATTTGACCTTGAGGTCAAATTTCAAGGTCATTTGGAGGTCATAGTGATTTTTTTAAATGGGACCGCCTACTTCCCTTATAGAAATATCATACTAAGCATCATTGATAATTACTTATTATCCAGTATTTTTAATACTGAAAATAAGTAATTATCAATGATTCTTAGTATGATATTTCTATAAGGGTTTTGACATCGGATTCGAAGAGAGCGGGAAATTTTACGTCAGAAATGATATTTTTAAATTTTTTATTTTGACCTTCAAAAGGTCAAATCAAGGTTTTAAAAACGCTCAGAAGCTGTTTGTTTAAATGCGATTATCTTACTTTTAGCATTACCTAGAAACAACGACGTGGACGTAGTAAGTTCTGTTTCCTTTGGCGTGCTTGATTATCGTGAGTCCCTTTGCCTCTCACGTTAAACAAGCACCCCAAACGTGAGAGGCAAGGGGACTCACGGTAAACAAGCACCCCAAACGTGAGAGGCAAAGGGACTCACGATAATCAAGCACCCCCAAGGAAACAGAACTTACTACGTCCACGTCGTTGTTTCTGGGTAATGCTAAAAGTAAGATAATCGCATTTAAACAGCTTCTGAGCGCTTTTAAAACCTTGATTTGACCTTCTGAAGGTCAAAATAAAAAATTTAAAAATATCATTTCTGACGTAAAATTTCCCGCTCTCTTCGAATCCTGTGTCAAAAGTACGCGGTCCCATTTAAAAAAATCACTATGACCTCCAAATAACCTTGAAATTTGACCTCAAGGTCAAATTCATTTATTGAGAAAGATGACCCCCATTGTCCTGAACAAGTTTTGTCTTAACTATTTTTCTATATCTGGCTTACCTATGGAGAAATTTGGATGAGTCCCGTAAAATGGCCCACCGTGTATACGAGGGCTGCTCCGTAAGTTTTGCGACTTGGCAACACTGGCGTTGCTAGGTAAAATCTAACCTTACCATCAAAAAGTTTGACAGTTTGGAAGATTTTTTTACTCGAAACGTTTTGTCGTACGGAGACTACTTGTATTGTTTACAGTGACTTGAAAATTGTGTCTCAGCGAAAAAATGGAATTAACACGAGAGCACTTTCGTTTGATGATTTTTTACGACTTTCGACGTGGATTATCGAGACAAGAGTGCATCGATCAACTTGCTTCCACTTTTGGCAATGAAGCACCACACAAGGCCACTATTTGTCGCTGGTTTAATGAATTCAATCGTGGTCGTAGTTCGCTCACCGACGAACCTCGCGAAGGTCGTCCAAAATTAGCTGCTGTGCCAGAAAACATCGATGCTATGCATAAATTGATAATGCAAGATCGACATGTGACATACCGTGAGATTCAGGCATCCCTGGGTGTTGGTATGAATTGCATACAAACGATATTGCATGAACATTTGGCCGTAAAAAAATTTGTTCACGTTGGATCCCGCATAATTTGACAATTGTTCAAAAAAAGGATCGTATAAATTGGTGCAAAAAAATGCTGAAGAAATTCGATCGAGGTGCGTCAAATGCCGTATATAACCTCTACACAGGTGACGAGTCATGGATCTATGCATATGAGCCGGAAATTAAACAACAGTCAACTGTGTGGGTCTTTCGAAGTGAACCTAACCCAACAAAAGTTGTTCGCGCTCGAAGCACTTCGAAACAAATGGTCGCTTGTTTTTTCGGAAAAACTGGTCATGTGGCAACAGTACCCTTAGAGAAACGTAGAACGGTCAATTCTGAGTGGTACACAACCATTTGTTTGCCAGAAGTCTTCGGCCAAATAAGGAAAAACAACTCAAGACGACGAATCATACTTTACCATGACAATGCGAGCTCTCACACATCGGCTCAAACAACCGCCTATTTGACCAGTGAAAACATCGAATTAATGGATCATCCACCGTACAGTCCTGATTTGGCACCCAATGACTTCTTTTTGTTCCCGAACATCAAGAATAAACTGCATGGTCAACGATTTTCGACGCCAGAAGAAGCGGTTGATGCGTTTAAAACACATGTTCTAGAGGTACCACTTTCGGAGTGGCATGGATGCTATAATAAATGGTTTGAGCGAATGCAGAAGTGTATTGATCATCATGGAGAATACTTTGAAAGACAATAAAGCCATTTTTAATGACAAATTACCGTGTTTTCCTTACTAGTCGCAAAATTTACGGAGCAGCCTTCGTACTAATTCATGCTGTTTACCAGCTAGGTCACATCTGCCCAGAGCCGCAATAAGACTAGAATCGGTGGCAATAACCACCTTTTTTTACTGTGTGTCAAACAACTTGGTCAAAGCATGTGCAACCGCCGTAGCTTCGGCCTCAAAAATTGATAATCAAGTCTCATTATCAAGTTTACAGCTAAAGGAAATAGAAGGGGAGAAGGAAAAAACCGAGCAACCCACCTCCACGTCTATTTTAGAGCCGTCAGTATAGAAGATACTATAATTATTATATTTGTTTTTACCCAGCATTAATTTAAAATGAGAATTCAATTTATCAAAAACTTTAGCATTATTTAATACTAGATTATTGTTTTGTGTAAGTAAAAGAAAACGATTCATACATGAATCACCAATATCTACATTAATATATAACCGACAAAATATTGACTCCAAATAAAAAATCAGAGGAACTGGCAAATCAGATGTATACAAGTGGCGATAAAATTCCAAAAACGTAATATAAATTGTATAGAAAAATTGCTCGCTTACACATGACCGAAGATTCAGATTCCTGTTAAATAAAGACCAAGCCAACTCTCTTACAGGGTGCTCTAATACATTGAACGCCTAATTAAAAATAATCTAAAATTAAGCTCTCTTCGCAAAAACAAAGGAGCTTTACCAGTCATGTGGAGAAGAACATTAGTAGGTGTTGTATGCATAACACCCAAAACTATTCTCAAAGCCTCGAATTGTAATCTATCCAAAATTATTGCAACATTTGGTTGGCCTGGTTTCAAATCAATGAAAGCAGGCGACCCATATTCCAAAGCAGATCTAATCCAACACTTATAAACATTAATTAAATTACAAGGGTGCGCACCCCACTGCAAACCAGAAATTGCTTTCAAAACTGACAATTTTGACCTAACTTTTTTCTTAATCTCAACACAGTGTTTTTTCCAGGTTAAGCCCCTATCAAAATATACCTCCAGAAATTTAACAAAATTAACGGTAGGAATCCTTATAGAAATATCATACTAAGAATTATTGATTAATTATTTATTTTCAGTATTAAAAGTACAGTATTTAGTAATATTTTGTGATTCAAATACAGCTTTTAGTACTTAAGTATTTCAATATTTAGTGTTACAAATCCTACCTTATGATTGATTTCAATACTTAAATATTGATATGTGATACTTCGTCCAGTGATAAAATACTTACGCAGAACATTGTCAATATTTAAATACTAATATATAATACTTTGCTAAGTGATGAAATACTTACGCAAAGTACTGTTAAGATTAAAAGTATTAACCCAGACAGCATACAATATTAGTAAGTTATTAGA